TATTATTATTATTATTATTATTATTATTATTATTATTATTATTATTCAGGAATGAGTTCTGAGGATGCGAAAGTTAAATATATCGAAACTGTGGAGAAATTAATCGCGAAATATGGAGTTGATGATTAATATTTATTATTATTATTTATGCATAATTATTATTATTATTATGATATTAATATTATTATTATATATAATAATATTAATATTATTAATATAGATAATTATTGATTGTGGCTTGTTGAAGAAATAATGTGAGATACCTCATTGTGGTGATATCTGTTGTGTTTTTATTATTATTATTGTTATTATTGTTTTTATTATTTTTTATTATTATTATATAAATTGTAATAAATATATTTTTTATTATTTATTATTATTGTTGTGTTTTTATTATTATTTATTGTTATTGTTTTTATTATTTTTTATTATTAATATATAAATTGTAATAAATATATTTTTATTATTTATTATTATTATTGTTGTGTTGTATTGATTTCTATTGATGTGTTTCTATTGCACACGCTATTGTATAGCGATACTGTCTGCGGGATTGTTTATTATTACTTTTATTATTATTGTTGTTTTATTTATTATTGTTATTATTATATTTATTGTTATTATTTATTATTATTATTATTTATTATTATATATTTATGTTTCAGGTACTCTAGAATAGAGAGGTTTATTGATAATGAATACAGTAACGAAACTTACGAAAATATTATCAAAATCGGGATATTATTTAAAATTATGCAATAATAATAATATATATAATAATGTATATAATAATAATATATATAAATCGTACGCGACGCGTGCGGATTTATTGAAATGGGAACGTGACTATTCCATTGAGAGTACACGCGAAATATTGCGGGAATACGATGAGCCTGGAGGTTTGTATTATTTATTATTATTTATTTATTATTATTATTTATTATTATATATGTATATTAATAATATACATTAGTAATAATAATAATAAATTGCAGCCAAAATCGAGTTTTCGAAAGATGACGCGAGCGGCGTGGCGCGTCTGGTGTTGACGAACGCGAGCGGTCGCAACGCGATGACTGGCCGAATGTTCCTCGACTTGGAGCGGATAGTGCAGGAGTTGGGGGCGTGGCCTGCGGGGAAATTGGTCATCGTGTCGGGGGCGAATGGCCAATTCTGTTCGGGTGGCGATCTGCGCATCATGAAGCGGCTCTGTGACCCGCATAGTGGGTACACAATGCATCGGTTCATGAGTGATTTGCTGCGTAAATTTAGGCGCCTCCCACAGCTGTCATTGGCCAAAGTGGAGGGCTGGGCGATAGGGGGCGGGGCCGAGTTGACGTGCACGTGCGATCTGCGTGCGTTCCACGTGAATTCGCGGTTTGGCTATGTGCAGTCGAAGGTTAGTGGCTGGTCATTTTCGGTTCTTTGGTTTGCTGGTGCGAGCGGCAATGGGCGGGGTAAAGAGAGGCTACGCCCATTGGTTGGGTATTTTCTGACGATAAGACCCCGCCCATTTCGGCAAGCTCCGCCCACTGTTAGTGAATATATGGATAATTAATGTAATTAATATTAATAAATAATTAATAATAATTATTTATTCAGATTGGCGTCACGCCAGGTTGGGGTACCGCCTTAGACTTCTTCCGCATCGTTGGTCGTGCGCGCGCCACTGAGATGCTCGCCATGGGTACGGTATTGAAGGGGGCGGAGCTTGCGGGAAAGGGGCGTGGCTTAGCTAATCTAGTCTATTCGAGCGAAGCGGAATTTGAGGAATATGTTAACAAATTGCTAGTGAATAATGTGACTCTGTTGAGGTCAATCAAAAAATTGGCACTTGTCCATGATTTGAATGATAATAATATTAATATTAATAATATATATAATAATAATAATAATATAAATAATAATAATAATGTGGAAAATATGGATTTGGAAGGGAAAAAATCATTTTTGGATCGCGAAGTATTTTGTGAGAATT